AAGATTATCCAGTCAGAGTACTCATACAATCATCCAATCAAACAAACATAGCTAGGGTTCCTCAAAACCTAAGTGAAGGGAAGTTACTCCATAGAGAAGAGAGAGACTGCATTAAGAATCTTCAGATGATCAGTCTTCAAGTCCGGGCTTGTTCCTCGAGCTTCCAAGGCGAAGAAATCCTCCAACTCCACTCCAAGAATGCCCTCAAATCGCCCTCTCTCTCTTTGGTTCGTCCCTTGGGTGTTTGGGATCCAAAAACCCAGCTCTCCTCCTCTTTGGTTCGGAATTTGGCTTAAAACTAGGAAATCCCGACTCACACGGGCAGGGCCACACGGCCGTGTGGCCTACCCAGTTGCTCGTGTGAGGCAAAACGCACCGTATCACTTAATCGAATTCCAGGCTTCTTACACGGCCAGTGTCGCACGGCCGTGTAAGATTTCATCCTGCCCGTGTTTGCTCTCGGCGGTAAATGCACGGCCACAGAACACGGCCGTGTTCTGGCTCCATAACCCCACACGGCCAGGTTTGTCACTTGCACGGCCGTGTGGCTCCTCTGCTCTGCCCGTGTTTGCTCTCGCACAATCCCACACGGCCAAACTGGTCACTTGCACGGCCGTGTGGGTTGTGGGAGTGCCCGTGTGACACCCTTTGTGACTTGTCTCGCGCCCGATCTTCGCCCAATCGACCCCGAACTCGCTCCTAAACCTTCATTCACTTGCCAGGACCTGAAATATCACAAACAAGCACAACCTAGCGTGAAATCGGTCTAAAACACGAGAAACCACATCTCAAACGGTGTAAGAACAGGGGTAAAAACATGTGTAACTAACGGTCTATCAAACTCCCCCACACTTAACCGTTTGCTTGTCCTCAAGCAAACCTAACTCAAACCAATGCAACTCTCCAGACGTTTATAGCAACAAACAACCCAGATCGTAGGTAGAGGACTTCCTAGATCATTTAGCAGCTTACGAGGTCAACCGACGCACAAGTCATCTCATAGCTTCTTCGGCGAGAGCACTAGTATCGAGTCGGCATCATGGGAAATAGTGAACAGAGGACAAATGAATTGTGGATGAAGAGATTCTCAAAAACAAAAGATCATGGACTCACATTTTTCAAGGTGCTCTATATTCTTTGAAGATGGTTGGAACCCCTTTTCTTTCTGTTTTGCTTGTTTTCTGTTTTTTTTTTCTTTTTTTTTCCAAGGGTCCCAACCTGCTCTTACCAGCCATGCCAGGAGCGGATGTCTCGAGCCTCGTGCGGGGGAAAGACATGTAAGGGGGCTGGAGGTAGTAGGTGGAAATTGGGAACGGATTCCCGTCTCCCCTTACACACTTTCGCCCTATTCGCACGGGAGACGTTATTTTGAAGCACATTTTCGAGCACCTGTTAAACTCAAAACATGAAACAAGAGTCCATGACAGGTAGAGAGTCCACAACACCACACAATTCAAGGGTCCTAAGATCACTAATTCACTCAATCAACCAACACAATATGAAGAAGAAATTAGACTTCTTAAATGCATCAACATCCTCCATAGTGTTACACTACCTCCCTAGGTTGCATATTACTATAAAGACTGTCAATTCAAAGCATACTGAGTAGGCAATTGCATGGAAACACGTACTTGGAGCCCTCAAATTTAAAATTTGGACAGTGGACTAGGCTCCAAGCACACAAACAGCCAAACATTCACCCGCATAAATAGTCGAACATCCCCCCACACTTAAGCACGACATTGTCCTCAATGGAGGAAAGATAAGGAGGGTAGAACGAAGTTACCCGATCAAGGGTGAATGATGATGAACGGGTCAGCCGGTGCATTCCAGAAAGAGAGAGTAATCAGAACACAAACACCACACAAAATCTCACAAAGGTTGAGTTATTGACTCTAAAATCAAATAACATAACTGACTCAACCGAGGAGAAATAGAGAAAGAAATGCAAACCGACTGGTTGGGTTGCCTCCCAACAAGCGCTTCTTTCACGTCGTGAGCCGGACGATGGCTCCTAAGTTTCGGTCCATGCTAGAACCTCCTTGAAGTTGAGGTTCTCGTCGATGAGGTGGAGTCTCAAGTCACGAGCATGTGGTGTGGCAGGTGATGGAGGCTCGTGCACTTGATGCAGATGAAGTCTCCACCCTCGAGACCTCTTCTTCTCTTCTCTCGTCTCATTGCCCCAAACCAGATAAGACAGCATCGATTGGCCACCATCGCGTCCACCAAGAGGGACCGATGTCGATGTGGCCTTGGTCTGGCAAAGAGACACTGCAAATGGGTCCTTGCTAAGCAGTTCCTCGAAGTTTGGTGGAGATATCCCATGTAACTCATGGCCGGTGCAGGCCTCTTCCACCTTAACTCCGTCCTCATCCTGGACGCCAATTTCTTCTTCAACCTCCCTTCCTTCTTCATGTGGTATTACCCCTGGGAAATGATCAAGAACTCCTCTTGCTTCACTTTCGTCATCCTCCACAACTTCTTTCTGCACCCTTTCTTGCTCTTCTTCTTCTAGCACGGATTGGAGAGCAAGTTGCCAAGCAATTTCTTTCATGAGATCTTCTTGCATCTCCTCACTCATGCCCGCCTCTTCAAAGCTCAGTTTGGGGTGTGGGAAGGTGTGGTCGGCTACGGCATGACACTCTTGATCATGATCATCACGGGAGCTCTCCGTGACAACTTCAGTGTGTTCCACAATGCCCTTGTAGCCTTCTTCTTCCTCCTCCTCTTCTTGTATGGTAGCAGAAGGGTGATCTGAAGCAGGTTGCGCCCAAGATCGCTCAAGATCATCGACGCTCTTCTTAAGGCTCAGGAGGATCTCCTCTGTTTCATGATAGGCTTGGACACAATGATCCATACTGGAGCATGATCTCTCCATGAGAAGCCTCAAATCATAGTGTGGATCTGGCTGTGGAGTGTAGCATGGCTCTGCAGAATGGCCCGTGAAGGCCGCCATGGGTAACTCCAGCGCCGATGGCCCTTCTGGTTGTGGGAGAAATTCTTCTTGGTAATGAGGTTGTTCTTGATATGCCCAGGGGTCCGGTTGTTCTCCGTAGTAAGGGGATGGTACTGGAACCCGAATCCATAGTATTCTCCTCCTTGATTGCTCCAGGGAGTCTCGGGGTAATACCACCCGGATGGTGGTGGATACCCCCAATGATTGGAGAAACCATTAGGATCCATGATTCAGATCTGCACCAACAAAAACAAAAACACCCAAGTGAAAAGCACGGGTGGAAAAGAAAAGAAAAACGCTAAAGTAACAAACTTCTGCCTTTCCTAATATTCTAGAAAGTCCCCGGCAACGGCGCCAAAAACTTGACTCGCTATGACACAACACCTAACAAAGGCCAAGTGTAACCAATGAAAGGGACTGCAGTATAGTGGCTCATGTGAGAAATATCGAATCCACGGGTCTCTAGAGTTACTATTACTCAGCTTCAGTTTATTATTTAGCAAACCAGATTAAGATGAAAGAACTAAAACTACTCTAGCAAACTACAGTTAAAGTTAATCTAATTACAGGTTGGGAACTCACATAGGTATGATTTCCCCTAGCCACTAGCCAGACTAACGATTGATGATTTCTAACTTGTTTCACTTTCATTCACAATGCGGAGAATCCTTGACTAGACCTTGAGTCTCGACTAAAGGAACAACGCCCTCTTGAGTCAATTGCCTAGAGGGACGTATCCTTCTCTAGAACAACTGATCAAGGCGTTCTGAACTAGACTCCCTCTATCGAAAGAGGTTCTCAATCGATACACAGCAGTGAATCAACCCTCGACTAAAGCAATCGATCCACTACTATCAATCTATGGTTCTCTATTGACCTAATCAGGTATTCCCTCTCATAGGATCAAAGCAGAATCAATAATCTCGACTAAAGCAGACTTGAATCATGAAAACATGCATAGATTGAATATGAACTCAAGATTATCCAGTCAGAGTACTCATACAATCATCCAATCAAACAAACATAGCTAGGGTTCCTCAAAACCTAAGTGAAGGGAAGTTACTCCATAGAGAAGAGAGAGACTGCATTAAGAATCTTCAGATGATCAGTCTTCAAGTCCGGGCTTGTTCGTCGAGCTTCCAAGGCGAAGAAATCCTCCAACTCCACTCCAAGAATGCCCTCAAATCGCCATCTGTCTCTTTGGTTCGTCCGTTGGGTGTTTGGGATCCAAAAACCCAGCTCTCCTCCTCTTTGGTTCGGAATTGGGCTTAAAACCAAGAAATCCCGACTCACACGGGCAGGGCCACACGGCCGTGTGGCCTACCCAGTTGCCCGTGTGAGGCAAAACACACCGTATCACTTAATCGAATTCCAGACTTCTTACACGGCCAGTGTCGCACGGCCGTGTAAGATTTCATCCTGCCCGTGTTTGCTCTCGGCGGTAAATGCACGGCCACAGAACACGGCCGTGTTCTGGCTCCATAATCCCACACGGCCAGGTTTTTCACTTGCACGGCCGTGTGGCTCCTCTGCTCTGCCCGTGTTTGCTCTCGCACAATCCCACACGGCCAAACTGGTCACTTGCACGGCCGTGTGGGTTGTGGGAGTGCCCGTGTGACACCCTTTGTGAATTGTCTCGCGCCCGATCTTCGCCCAATCGACCCCGAACTCGCTCCTAAACCTTCATTCACTTGCCAGGACCTGAAATATCACAAACAAGCACAACCTAGCATGAAATCGGTCCAAAACACGAGAAACCACATCTCAAACGGTGTAAGAACAGGGGTAAAAACATGTGTAACTAACGGTCTATCACTGACACGTGGGTTAATTGGACCAAATACCACTTAAGTGGGTTTATTGTTGCAGGGTTACCACTTAAACAGAATTAGTAGCAACTAAAACCTTTAAGTCGTTCTCCGGTAGCAACATTAACAATTCCGTCAACGGAAGTAACGGCAGGTACCGTAGAGGTAATTTTCATGACACGTAGGCAGAACAGGTCAGCACCTCTTGCTGACTCATCCTTGGATTTTCTTCCCGCTCATTTCTTCCCGCGCGGGCTTGCCATTTTCCCGCTCTTCTCCTGTATTATATATGCTTCCTGCCCCATCTTCTTTTTCACAACCCCCTTCTCACATTTCATTTCTGCCCACTGCCCACTTCCTCCTTCCTCCAAGTCGGTCGACAATGGCGGCTGCAAGTCCACTGTGTCGGTGTGCGGTACCGGCGGTTCTTCGAACTTCATGGACCGATGCCAACCCCGGAAGACGATTCTTCGGCTGCACCAATTACCGGGTAAGCTGATTAGATTAGATTAGAACGATTAGCTTAGCTTTCATTTTGTCAAAGCTTTCTAATATGTAAACTGTGGATCTGATTCTTCTCGTGCTTGATTCGTAGGGTGCAAATGCATGTAACTATTTCCGTTGGGTTGATCCACCACTTGAAGATAATATTAAGCGCCTTTTTCTTGCCTTGCACAAGAGAATCCAAGAGGTGGAGAGGAGGAACGATCGCAACTCATTTGTCCGAGAAGTCAGCAAAGGTTTTTTATTGTTGTTGGAGCTCTTTTGGCAAAGAGTGTGATGGATTCCCTGTTTGGAATCAAGGAATGAGGTGGGAACCTGTTGTGGATTATGTAATGAGTTGTGGAACCTGTTCTGGATAATGTAATGTGTTAGGGAAGTTGTTTTGAATGATGCACTGGATCTTAATGATGTAAAAACAATTAGAAGTGTTACTATGGCTAGCTGTTGCTTCAAAATAGATCAGAGCCTTCTTGTTACTATGGCTAGCTGTTGCTTCAAAATATGATATGAACAATGTTACTCTGCCAATATTTTCTCACCACATCCACATATGTTTCCACTTGGAGATCCTACCTTACTGCTGTCAAAGTTCATGAAATCAGTTGCAATCTTACATTAGGATGGATCTTGACAATCCAAACGCTTTTCATAAAAAATTCAGTTGCAATCTTACTTCAAGTTCTATAAACGATTACATAACAACAATGCTAAAAGCTGCTACAAAATATATCAGAGTCTTCCTGTTCAAACCCAAAACCATAACATAACAACTATGCTAAAAACTGCTGCAAAATAGATCAGCCTACATATTTGGTGATCGATGTCAATGACTATATATGGATATTGAACACCAAAAACTGTGCTGAAATCAGAACACCCAAAAAGCAGCTGATAGTCATGTAAGTGCCGAAACAACAATGGAAAACCAGGACTGTATCCTACTACCTAAACCCCACACCCCATTCTACTTCAAAATATATCACATCTTCCCTTTCCCCTTGGACTCTTTTCCTCTAACAGGAAGTTTGCTTTGCCTCCACTCTCCTTGTGCAAAGCGTGATGCTTGACTTGAGGGATGCATTGGACGAGTTCGAGTGCTTCCCTACAAATCAGAAGCAATTTGTAAGAATCTCACAAGTTATAAAGAGCATAATAATGGTTGTTAAACATTAGGACCATACATCAGGCATCCATTGTAGTACAAAACCAGTTGAACCTATCGGTGGTGTGCTTCCCTACAAACCATAAACCCAAACATCAGAACTGAAAATTTTCTCAAGTAACCAATTATAAAACTATTTGTCTCACCTTTGTTGCTGAGTTTTCCCCCTTGTTCCCCTTTGAATGGAATGACTTGTTGTGCCCTGCTAGCTTACACTCACTACAATGAATGGTTCCCCACTTTCCTTTCTTACTCATCCTCTCATTTGCATCTCTAAACTTGCGTTTATGTTTATCAGGGCCTGCTGTCTCCTCAATGCCCTTTTTCCTTTTGGTTTGGCGCCTTCCTTTCTATGATTCATCTATGGCCAACGGCGGGGGCAGCACAGGTTCCTTCCCACTTGGCAGCCAAGACTCTGGTCCAACCATTGGTTCCACCTCACCAGAGTAAGCCTGAAGGTAAGCTCTAACCTGATAGCACTCATCCACGTAATCCTCTACCCTTTTTAGAGTTGCCATATGCAGCGTATGGCATGAGGGCAGGGTAAACCTATTAACTCCCACATCCTACAAGTGCATTTAGACTTACTGACATCAACAACCAACTGACCTTGAGGACATGAAACCTGGAACTTTTGTGGACCACTCTAAATGGCATTACAAGTGAAGCTAGCTTTCTGAGCCGAGTCTAGCCTTCTCTGTATGTTGGACATAATCGACCTTTGAATTTCGACTCTGCTTTTACCTTCCTATAATGAAACTTGTGCATCAAGATTTTCCTAATAGTCTCGAACATGCTTATAATCGGTTTGGTCCTAGCTCCTAGTAGAGAGCTATTCCAACTTTCACAAATGTTGTTTGTCAGCAAATCTGACTTGGAATATGGTTGGAACTGTGACCTCGTCCATTGTGAGAATGGCTTGTCAAGCAACCACCTATGAGCATTCTCATTATAACCCTTAAAATCATTCATGCACCTCTTAAATTCCGATTCATAACTAGCTCTAGCACATGACCATAACAAGTCTCTGGTTTTTTGATACCTCCTTGTGCCCTAAACAGATTGGACACCAGATGTCTCACACAACATCGGTGTTCAGCATATGGAACAAGAGTCTCCAGAGCATTCAACGGACCCTACAAAACAGCATTATAAAACAATTACACCTTAAAACCACATTACTTTTTGCTTATCTGACATAAATGTCCATTTTCTTGAATCCTTGAAGATATCAAGGTCTCGACACAGTTGGTTTAAGAACCAAGTCCAGTTGTCTCCATTCTCAACTTTGACTGCGACATATGCTAAAGGAAAACTCCCCCCCGTTCCCATCTAGGCTAACTGCAGAGAGTAATTGTCCTCCATAGTCTGTTTTCAAAAAACATATGTCGAGAAGAACTACCTTTCTGCAGAAAACAGCCCCATGCTTACAAGGTTGTCAACAACAATACATCCTCTTGAAGACATTGGAATGCTAAGATGTTTCCACAAAACAGGTTGAACCACGACTTTTCCTAACAACTTGAGCACAGTAGTCCTGCAGTTTATGATACTGCTCCTTAGCATTGCCTCTCAAAAGATCCAAGGCAATACGTCTAATTCTCCAAGCTTTCCACCTTGAAATAGTCCAATGATAATCTTCTGCAACTGTTTGGACAATTGACGCAACCCCCCATTGTGAATCATCCTGAAACCTCTGTAGGTACCTTTGAGCTATGTAGTTAGCATCCCCAAAATTGTTCTTGAACATCATGATGCACCCCTCATGCTTTAGACAACAAGATCTTATCTGAACTGCCTTTCCATCATCAGTTGGGGCAACCCATATGTTCCATGGACAACCTGTTTGACACACAACTTGGACAATTTTACTGTCACTATGCTTAAACTTTAGTGGTTGTTTGCTGTTTATGGAGTAGCTCTTCACGGCGTCCTTGAACGTATCAAAATCCCTGAAAATTTGATGTAGACAGAAATGGGGATCGCTCATGTCCTTCTCTGAATTGAACTCTGGGTACCTTGGATGACTTGGAACCCTCTAAACCTCTTCATCATCATCTGAATTGATGCTGCCTAGGTAGTCTGAAATCATATACATCATCCTCAGAATGGAAATCAAATGCATCATCAATGTATATTTCATGACTGCCACCCTCTCCATCGTTGCTTAGTCCCTCCATATCTTCATAATTGCCCTCAAAATCAGCATCCAAACCTTGTTCCGGGTCACTCTCTGCAGGGTGATCAGTGTCAAACTCATTTGATTCCCTGTTGTCAACATAATCAACATTGTTTTGGCAGCCCAAATCATCTTCTAACTCGGTTCTTCCCTTGCTGCCACTTTCAGTTTCATTAGACTTGGATAGTGTCTCTGCCATTTCATGTTGAACTTCAGCTAGGCTAGCTTTGGTTAATTCCTCTTTATTGATCAAGTAGATCTCTACAAATTTCGTATCTTGAATAACCTTGGCAGCCATGTCCATAATTTCTTTGTCACTTCTCAGCTCTTGAAGTCCTTCCTTCAATCGTTCTCCTTGTAGCCTCCAATAGTATGCCCAACCATTCTTCATTCTATATTCCTCCAACATCCTGACACTTTCTGAGAAGCCAAACTCAACAAGATATCCGTCAAGTTCAAACAAAGACAAGCAATCTGGATCTATCCAATCCAGGTACTTAACTTTCCTGCCAAAATAACACAAGTCTTCGTCTAGTACATACACAACCTCTCCTTTGTAATGCAGCTCGATGGTGAACTTGTCATCATCGATTCCTAACAAAAACAAAGAAGCCAAATTTAGTTTTAGTAAACCTGAAATCAAATGATGAAAAGTGCAGTAGCAACACATAAATCCAACTCACCATATGTTGGTATCAGATCGGTATCTCCTACTTCCCTGATAGTTGGACTCATTTTTGTTGATAAAAGCCAGGGGAACACGTGCTTGCTGTTATGTAACCTGCCATTACAGCACAAACCACAAATTCAGCAAGAACAAACCATATGTTGAAAGAAACCCAGAATTCAGCAATAACAAACCACAGAGTCATCTAAAGAACAGAGTTCGTCAACAAGCTATCTTCGTTAACATGTCGTTTCAAAGCCTAAGAACATGATGAAAAGAAAAAGAAATCAGAATCAAGGAGTAGAGGAAGATCGAACAACTTGCAGATGCATGGGACTATTTACTTACCGTAATCAATGGAAGATGTGATGATGTTAATCTCTGTTCTTCACAACCTATGCGTTTAGTATGGGCTGATGGTTCCCCTTTCCGTCGCACGATTGTCTTTTGGAGGAAGGGTGTTTGTCTTTTCGAAATTGCAGAACAGAAAAGTGAGGAGGGAGATGAGAAGTTGGGTGATCACATCCTTTGTTTCTCTGCATTTTGGTGAGTGGGCCCATGCCTAGGTGTGGCCCGAAGCTGAGTCAGCAAGAGGTGCTGACCTGTCCTGACTACGTGTCATGAAAATTACCTCTACGGTACCTACCGTTACTTCTGTTGACGGAATTGGTAATGTTGCTACCGGAGAACGAGTTAAAGGTTGTAGTTGCTACTAATTCTGTTTAAGTGGTAACCCTGCAATAATAACCCCACTTAAGTGGTATTTGGTGCAATTAACTCCTGACACGTAGAAACTTAATGACCTTGTATACTAGGTACCCTGCAAGATTATTTATGAGTTCTAGCATGCCTGACTACTTAGAATAAGGGTGCGTTGTGCCTACCGCATAGGCATGGCGTCATGCTTGGCACCCTGGTGCTTGGTATGTGGGTGGTGAGTTGCTTGACTGCTGGATAGGTGGCATGCTTGATAGGCCGGTACTTGAGGTCTCAACACTTAGCTAAATTCTACCTTAACTGCACTAACCCTCCTTGCATGACATCATGCTTGACACCTTAGCATCAGATATGCGGGTGGTCAACATACTTGCATACTTTACAAGTGGGTATGCGACCTGCTTGATGGGTGAGTGGCGAGGTCTCGATACTTAGTCAAATTTCATCCCCATTGTCTCTACCTCTCTTGGATGATGTCATGTTTGACATCCTAGTGCTTGGTATGTGAGTGGTGAGGTCTCAATACTTAGCCAAATTCTTGCCTTCTTCCCCCATCATGTCTAGGAGTACTCGTGATAGCCTTGCTTGTACGACATCATGCTTGATAGGTGGGTGCTTGGTGGGTCGAAGGATATGTCATGAGGTGCCTAGCATCACCTTATGGGTATCGGAGGTTAGACTGGAAAAGTGAGTTGTAGGCAGAGCTAGAGCCAATTGGATATGATCTGGGACATGTACAGGTAACATCTGGGGGTAAAAAAACACACCCAAATATGTCTATACCAGGTATTGAAGTTATGACCCCCACGTCATTACAAAGCGCTCTGCCTCTATACAACAAACATTATTAATGAACAATTCAAAATAACCTTAATATTACACACTATAAATAAAATCCTTAATTAAATTCCCTAATCAATTTGATATCTCTCTCGGTTTGGGCATATCAATTTTTCCCTTCAAATGATCGTGACTAAAGCAAGCAAGCAGCGAAACCTGTTGTTGTAAATTGATCACAATCACTACAATACCGTGACTATTGGATAAATCCTGTGACGAATGACCCAATAAGTCACGAGAAGTCCCGTGACTATATCATAGTTTAGTCACGGTAATAGTACCGTGTTTAACTATCAGTCACGAGAATTATCATGACAAAATAGATCATCTGTCATGGGGTGTTTCCCGTTATTGTATCTTTTCTGTTACGGGAAAATCCCGTGATATTTAACCTTCCTTCACGGGCTCGCTTGACACGGGATTAAACCGTGACAAATGCTTTTCATCACTGGAACTGTCTGTTTAGTCACAGGAAATCCCATCGTAGGTGTATTTTCCTGTAGTGACAGGTAACTTCTGGGGGTAAAAAAAACACACCCAAATATGTCTATGCTAGGTATTGAACTTGTGATCCCCACGTCATTACAAAGCGCTTTGCCGCTATACAACAAACCATTATTAATGAACAATTCAAAATAACCTTAATATTACACACTATAAACAAAATCCTTAATTAAATTCCCTAATCAATATGATATCTCTCTCTGTTTGGGCATATCAATTTTTCCCATCTAATTTGTGTCAGTTAGATAGTTGCTTGATTTGGAACCTGTCTTCTAGGGCTGGGAAAATAGACCAGACCGTTAGAAAAACTGTGGTCGAAACCGTACCGCACAGTTTGGTCTGGACCATAGACCGTTAAGTATGGTCTGGTCTGGTCCATGGTCTGTATTATATTATGTTTTGATCTCTTGGTCTGGTCTGGTCTAGACCGCGGTTTAACTAGAGAGTAGAGATAATCGTGTCTCCATATGACATTATGTTAATGTTTATGACGTTATGGTGCAAGTTGAGATGCTTTTACTTTGTATCTTTGTTATGCACTAAGATTTAGGGTATCAAAATTATTCATGCATGTTAGGATTAATGTTTTAAGGCAAATAACAATTATTTTTCTTGGTTATTGGTTCAATTTTTTGTGTGGTTGACTAAACAAATTATTCATTTTTCATTGAGTATGGTCTATCTGGACCAGACCAGACCGCACAGGCGTGGTCTAGACCAGACTGTATAGTCTGTGGTCTATACTTCAACCTCTCTGTCTGGACCATAGACCGTACATATGGTCTGGTCTGGACCAGACCGCACCATTTCCCAGCCCTACTGTCTTCCTCCAGCACATTATATGGGTATAGTTGCGACCCATCAGCATCATTTGAACGATTTTATTAAGGTTCATATATTTGTATAGCCCGAACTTTTCACAAATTAAATATCATGGCTAATATTTTCGATCTATAACATTGTAACCTGAACTATGCATCAAAGTTATGAAATTAGCCAAATTCGAGCTTTGACCGTTATTTTGAATGGTCAACGCGCCACGTCGCTGCTAAATCAGCAAAGACCACTTAAAAAATTTGATTTTTCCCACCTATTACCATTTATCTTTTTCAAAATGAAACAGGCTTTCCTTGTTTTTTCTTCTTTTGTTCAAAATAAAATAGATAAATTGTAATAGGTGGAAAAAAACAAAAAATTTAAGTGGTTTGTGCTGACTTGGCAGTGACGCGGCGCATTGAGCGTTAGTTAACGCATTTGACCGTCCAAGATAACGGACAAATATTGGGTTTGGCCAATTCGTAATTTTGATGCATAGTTGAGGCCACGATGTTATAGATTAAAAAAATTGGCCAGGATGTTTAATTTGTGAAAAGTTAGCGCCATACAAATATATTTACCTTTTATTAAATAATTCACTTGTCAGTTTTTTAGGTGCATAAATGTTTATGTTATTTTGGAATTTCCCGCACCACCTAGTCCCCCTTCTTTATAGGGCATTATGTCGCCTTTGTAATTGGTATGGTTTGACCGTGATACAACTGATTTATACTGGTTCATGCTCATTTTAGCAAAATATGTAGAAAAGTGGAAAATCATTAACACTAATGAATTTGGAGATATATAAAATATTTGAATAAGTATATTTAAAATTTACGTTCATATTTAAATAAAATACAATTTTAAGAAAATCTACATATTTAAAATACAACATTTAATTCTAACATCCGAAAGTGAATACTTGAAAGTTGTGGTTATTTCATGTATTTCAAAAGTTGTGGTTATAATTGCACAAACATGAAAGTTGTGGATATAAAAATGTATTTTGCCTCAAAAATTTTGTAGGTAAATTATGATGTGGAACCTACGCGCAAGTGAGACTGAGTTGTCGCTGAAGTGTGTGCCAATTTGATGTCCTAGTCAGTGTGTCTTTACCCTACCTGACGGAATTTCTAACACTATTAAAGTTTGCTATGGAAATAGCTAGATTTTTCAAACAAACATAAAAATTATGGCTATTTCGTGTATTTCAAAAATTATGGCTAAAACTATTGCCCAAGGACCGATTGCCCACCCGTACCCGCAGGCCGCAACCACCATATCATTGTTTTGTAAAAATGATTAATCTAGGAATGGCAATGGTTCGGGTCGGGGGCAGATAGTGCATATCCGTTACCCTACCCAAAGTAGGTCGGGTTTTACCCATACCCATACCTACATGTGAAACGGGTAGAAAATCAAAACCATGCTCATATCCGTTCGGGTTTCGGGTATCCACGGTTATCCATGGGTAATCATTTCTCTTCATAACTTCAACCAATATGTTAACATTCACACGAATTCTCACATAACGTAAGTGGAAAAGTACGACAATAATTCACTAGAATGAAAAAAATTAATTAAAACAACACAATTTCATAAAAATATTATACTTATATGCTAAATATAAAATATGTTAGAGAAAAATAATGATTATCTAGAGAAAATACATACGCATTTGTATAATCGGGCGGGTTCGGGTTGGATAGTGAGAAATCCATGCCCACTCATTACCCACAATATTTGGGTTCGGGTTTTACCCGTACCCACTAAATGTCTTTCGGGTTCGAGTTTTACCCTACCCAATTAGGACGGATTCGAGTGTATATCCATAGTTACGGATATTTTTTGCCTAGATTAATCTGACAGCAACTTGTTTGGGAAGGATATTTTAATTTACTGGGGTTTTCAGGATGGAGACATCCATGCTAATCCGATCAGCATTTTAATTTAATGGGTGAATGAAGATCTTGACCGTATATAGCGATCTTGTACTTGATCCGCTCCTATGATATATGTGTTAGAGTTGTTGTTGTTGTTTTGGGAAGGATATTTTAATTTACTGGGGTTTTCAGGATGGAGACATCCATGCTAATCCGATCAGCATTTTAATTTAATGGGTGAAT